CGCCCCGAGCTCTTGGGATAGTCGTGTCGCATAGTGTCTCGAGCACGGGACCCGACTTGGTTACACCTTAGTTCTGATGGCGTGTGGTATCGGATTCTAACACTGGTTGGGATGTGGCGTGTGATGTCGGTGGTGACTCATCCAGGGATCAAAATATATCTTATGAACGTGTGGTATAGGATTCTAACACCGGTTGGGATGGCATGTGATGTCGGTTCTGATGACGTGTGGTATCGGATTCTAACACTGGTTGTGATGGCACGTTCCGATGAATGTGCATGAAGTATTCTAACACGGAAACCGTTTAAATTTGCTTGTATCCGAACGCACCACACTAAACATTAGCGCAAGCAACAAATGTCCAATAATAACAAAATGGTTGACGACTCTTTACTTGAATTCAAATTTTACCTTTTACACTAAAACTTTTATTTAAATAATTAACCAAGGGTTCTTTAAGAAGGTGGAATACATGAGTTCTCTATAGAAGGGTATAAGGGCAAATTCGTCATTCAAAAGTTTCATTGCTATAGAATTTGCATTCCTAAACGATATTTTCATTTATATTTTATGTTGTTTTAATTTAATATAATTTAGCTTATTTTTTCATCATCGGTCCGCGTGCCGGCCGTCAACAAAGGCCGGCAACCAAACTCCAGTGGAAAGTATTTAAGAATCTTTTACGTACCTGCTTCGTGCTCTGTGGCAGATCGAACCAAGCATCTGTTCCAGTTACATCGAAGCAGCATGAGACAGGCCGGGGCGTACTCCTCCATGCTCGTTGGCGGCGTATCAGGGAGAACCGGCCCCCACTCGCTGCCATTGGCCCGGATAAAGAGGATCATGAAGCAGTCGAGCGACGACGTGAGGATGATTTCAGCCGAGGCGCCCGTCGTGTTCTCCAAGGCCTGCGAGCTCCTCATCGGGGTGCTCGTGCGACGAGCTTGGGCGGCCGCCCTTCGCCGCAAAAGGCGGACCCTCCTAAAGGAGGACGTGGCGGCCGCCGTCACCAACACTGATGTCTTCGACTTCCTCGTCCAGGTGGTGCAACAACAGCCCAAGTAGCAGCCGGATGGCGTGCATGCTGCAGCTGCAAAAGGATGCCGTTCTCTCGGCACTTGCTTGTGTTTAGTTCTACCATATCAATGTAAAAGCTCTGGATGATTTCTACCAAAAGAATGCATCTATGATTACTGTCAGATGAAAGAACACGTATAAAGAGACCTGATATTCTCCGGCAAACAAGGTGACCTACGGTGCAACAGCGATTGGTAGCATCGGGATGCATTTTATCAAACAACAGGAAGAAGAAGGTTGTTTGGATATTATTGTAAAGTCAATGAAGATCCGTTCAGACATATCTATCTATCAACATCTGTTAAACATGGAAAGCAGGTAAATTTTTTTTAATTAAAAATATATTTTTATTATATTAAATGGTGTACGCTCATAATTGGACTCCAAACTGATATCTTTTATTTTGTGCAACATGAATTAATCAATCTGGATGTCTCGTTAGAAACGAAAACAAATAATTGAAGGACAAATCCTTGTACCATGTACAAAAAAAATTGATAAAATATTAACAAAGAATAGAAAGAAGCCAAAACTTTGCTGAAGATCTCCTTAATTAGTTCCTTTGGACAAATATCCCATCACCCACCCCTTGAAGCATCCAAACTGAAAGAAATCACAGATGCCCTACTTGATTGCTCACATCAACTTTAAATATGGACGACCACCACCATAAGTAAGAATAAGAATGAAGACTCCAATTACTCAACTAAAAACAAATGCTATGTGACAATCTATACACGTCTAGCATGAATTACTACCTCAAATTCAAATGCAACTTGCATGCAGCACCTACTGTTCCTTGTATGGGCAATTAATTCCAAGGTGGCTTCAGCTTTCTTCTCCGGATTAGTCAAATCAGTAACAGCAGCGATTTCAACTTGTAACTTTTGCTTACCAGAGCGACTTGCAAATTCTGCCGAAGGTCAGACTGATTCCCATTATAAAGCATCAATTCTTTCTGTAGTCTAATTTGGACCCATTATTAAGCATCAACTCGCATATCCGAAGGTCAGATTAAGTGTTTTCGACGTTCCATTTATTCGCTGTTCAACGTTGGATTATGTGGTCCTATTGAATTAAGTAAGATATATTATAGATATGATTGGATTTTGATAATGATTATTGGTCAATAAAAAAAAAGTTCTAAAGTAGGATTCCTCGGGAGATAACGAGAGAAATTCTCCTAATAACTTATCTTAGACCCTTTGCTCTCGCCTATAAATAGACAAAACCAGAAACTCTAAGGGCTAATTAAGATTTTTTCTCTCAATCTCCACTAGATCTAAGAATTTGATTTCAATCCTGGCATAAAGGTTATTTTCGCATTTAATATAGCATATTACATATTTTTATGCTTACAATTGGTATCAGAGCCTAGGTTCTACAGATCAAATACATTAGATCTATTATTTTATTTATGATGCATGATTGATCCCTTTTCTCCAATGATCGACCTTGCTGTGAATCTATTGATGGTAAAGTTGCGTTGGGCAGCGTGCGTGTGGCAGCACGGGCATCACAATGCTCATGCAACGGCCGACCGCACACGGCCAGAACCCGTCCATACAACGATCGACCGCACGCAAGCAGACAGCCTCGGCGGCGACCGCGCGTGGGTAGGCCGTGCATAGGCAGCGGCCGCACGCTGGCAGCAACCACACACGGGCAGGAACCATTGGTCGCTCGTGGACAGAGGCAGCCCCCGCGGCAGCAACGACCGCGCGTGGGCAGGTACCGTCGCAACGGCCGCACGCTGGCAATAGCCGCGGCCAACGCACTGTCCGTAGGCAGGAAAGGTCGCAGCGACCACACGCGAGCAGCGACGCAAGCTGGAACCGCCACAGCGACTAGGGTTTTACAAAATTACAATTCTACCCTTTAAATTTTTCGTAATTCTAGTTTATGTTCTGTCAATATATTTACAGTTTTACTCTCGGGTCTAATTTCTTCCAAATTATAGTTTTGCCTTTCATAAATTACATATTTCTGATTTATATCCTATCAAATATTTACATTTATCATTATGAAATTGAGAAATTTGGTGTATATTCTTAATTATAAAAATTGATAAATATGATTTTATTATAATTATGATTAGATTTAATCATGATTATATTTTTAATTATTTGATTAGATTTAATTTTGATTAAAAAAATATAAATTATGGTTTACTTTATAGTTTTCTCATATGAATTATTGATTATACAAAATCTAATTATTCTTCTTGGATATTCATTTAGTTATTCACATATATATATTTGAAATTATGAAATAATGTTATCATGATTATCATATGAGTTTTCTTTTATCGATTAATATTCAATAATTATTATGATTATTATTCTATTATTAAACTACTTAGCATTAATGTTCAATAATTATTATGGTTATTGTTCTATTATTGAACTACTTAGCAATAATGTTCGATAATTAACACGTGCAAGAACAAACTAAGGAATATAGTCTCAACCGTACGAGACAATATGATCCGGTATCAGTCCAAGTCAGGACTTGTATACAGACCGGGTATTTTCACCCGAGTAAGTTCAATACCGGGTAAACTACCTCATACCTTTACCACACTGGGCATATTGCCCATTAAGGTAGCTAGTACCAATCTGTATATAAAGCTGACTCTTGATTTTACCATACTGGGCATATTGCCCGGTAGTGTAACTAGTACCAATCTGTATACAAAGTTGACTCTTGCTTTTTATATGCGCTCCTTGTTCACATCGTCGCCCCTCGTCCCTGTTACCTCCTAGGCTAGCAACCTAGCCTCCCTCCCCCAAAGCATCCAGGTCATCTCCATAAAAGTTTTCGTCCCACTTTTAGTGAAAGGAGAGGAGGCAAAGGAAGATTAGAAGAGATGATGGTGAGGGCATGGCAACCAAGTGAAAAGGATGAGGAGGCAACCAAGGTTCGTATTGTACCGACGTATCAAGCTTTTCTCGGTACGATATAGTACAAGCATATCAAGCGGTACACTAAGGTGTATCACTCGATATATATATATATAATAAAAAAAATGAGGTATACTGTCACGAACAATCATCGCGCACCCGCAACTTGAGAGTCTAAGCTTTCATAACGATTAAATAGATAGTAGCTAATATGTTGTTCTTGGATTAGGAACTTGATGGCGATTAGATGCTAACACCTTGTGTATGCAACACCATCTAAAACTATGTATCTACAATGACGCATAAGATAGATATTTGTAGGATTTATTCAGATCAAAGATGCCAAACAAAATTGTTTTCACGCACTATGTCTCTGTGTTTGCTTGGTTGGTAAATACGTTGGCCCTATTCTGGTACATCAAATCAACCCCTCCTCAGAGTGGTTAGTGCATTTGTGCTGGTCTAGGTTCCAGCTATACTTGGCGTTTGCAGCTGAGATGGATCTGGTTAGATCCTTTAGCCTTCACAATCTTGCAAGAAAAAAAATAAAAGTACTGTCATGCACCCTGTGCAATTGCTGAGAAATTTGATGTGGCTGAAAATATTCCCATATCTTTTCATACTCAGAATCCCCTCATATTTCTCCTTGGTTGAGGAATACATGCGGATACAGAAGGTGCTTAGGAGAACATAGACTTGAGAAAAATCATTATTTTTAGGAGTAGGGTAATCTGCTACCGTTAACTTAAACAAGTTGGAACCTATCATTTTAGATGGGTCAATTCTTTTATTGGGTTGGTCGTGACATATAGCATACGATCCATTTTTATGGCAATACATGTTTCAGACTTTCAGTGATGGCTATTGTAAGAAATAAAGATTTTTTTTATTATTTCTTCATGATCGAAGCAATTAGCAAAAATATATGTTACACTTATTGCTATAAAGTCGAGTATTTTCATCAACCATTCCTCCGTTTAGTTCAATTCAGGGGTTTAGATAAGTCTCCATCATAAATATGCGATAAAACACTATTTAATTAGGATGAGGAACACAGGGCATGACATATTATTTCCGATAAGGACAAAACTAAATCATAATTTTACAAAATAAAAGTGCAAAATGAAATGTTCTTTTTCATGAAACGTTTATCACGAGTTAGCATACTTCACTTGACCAAGCTGCAAATGATATACTCATCCTTTAAATATATTCTTTTTTTCTTGCATAATTATGGTCAATAAGCAGTTTTTGTCGGTCCAAAGGCAACAACTGCCCATCCAAACAGGAGCGCTGAAAGGAGGACGAGAATAGCAGTTAAAAAGTTGAGATTGTTCCTCTCCAATTTCCCAGCGTCGGCTTCTCTTTGGATCGAGTTTTTGTTCGTCTTGGAATCATTGACAAGATTAGATGTACATTTATGAACTACATCCCAGAATGATCTTGTGGCCGCTGAGATCGGTGCCGTCTCCGGATCTACCACTGAAGTGGTTTCTATTGGACCATCCATGGACATCATTTCTTGGCAGTGATCTTTCACGTCCTGGAACACAATGGGACAGAGATAAGTAATGTTTACAAACACAACAGTTGCAACAAGATTTAGAAGTGAACAAACAAAACTAGAAAGCAGGATTGCATGCATCAGCAAGTTGTTTATTTCCCTCACTTAAAGATCAAAGAAGTGACCACCATGAATGTCGACCAGAAAAAAAGGATTTTGACAAGAAAATGGGTTTATGAGTGCATGCCATAACTTGGGAGAAAGAAAAAACACCTCACAATCATATGTGGAATCCATCTGTTACTGATCAGCCTTTTCAACAGAGTTGATCTAGCACACAAAATACAGGTGATTGATGATTGTAGGCAGGCGCAAAAGGCCCATGTATCCAACAATTTCTGTTTGAGAGGCACATCCATTAGGAGCATCCTAACAATTTGTCTAACATCTGTCATTCAATCCACACAGTGAAACAAGATACCCATTCCTCATCTTCCAAAGCAAATTCAAATGCCAATGCTCCCAACCTTCAAGTGTTTAATATCAGAATAGTCTCTAGCAAAATGGAAAAGAAAGACAAATTTGTGCCATGGTTTTTGCTTAATATAAAATGGTTTAATTCCAACTAGAGAGGAACTATCAGGTCTATCCACATCTTTAATCGGTTAAGGGCAATGCTTGATGAAAAAGAAAACAGAGATGATTATATGTCAGAGGCTGAACCAGTGATTTAAAAAGGCGCTCGGGCGCTCGCCTAGGCGCTCGGGTGAGGCGAGGCGAGGCCCGAGCACCTCGCTTCACTTCCAGGCGGCGCACTTCAAAGAGGTGCCGCCTGGGCACTCGCCCGAGCCCAGGCACTGGGCGCTTCGAGCGAGCGCCTAGGTTAAACCGAACCATGATTTTAGGTCTGGTTCGGTCTCCGGTGGTTAGTTGGTTCAATCAAACCAACTAAAATCGATATCAGCTGTCGCTGCCCAACCTTAACCCTGCTCGCCGCTCCTGCTGCCACTGCCACTGCTCGCCGCTGTTGCCATTGTCGCCGCTCCCGCTGCAGTTGTTCCTTACACTCCCGCTGCCGTTGCCACTTTTCTCAATCAGCACCCCCTTACACTCCTCTTCCTTCTTCTCCTTCTGTATACTGTTAACAGTATACAATATACTAATAATAGTATTTGTATTTATCAGATTAATAATATATTATTTTGATTTTAATATTATTAATTTTCTTAATTTAATAACATATTTTTATTTAAAATTTTAAATAATTATATTTATTAATTATATTATATATTTTTATATTTTAGTATCTCATTTCGCTCGGGCGAGTGCCTAGCGCCTTGGGCGTTTTTGGACCTTAACGTCTTTTGGCGCCTAGCGCTTTTTAAATCACTAGGTTGAATAATGAACTATTTGCATTACTAGAGTAGCAAAGATAATTAAGCACTTGTACAAAATTAAATGTTTATTAGCAATACCTCAAAAGTCTCCGATGCCTGTAGGTAGTCACAGATGAATATGCCAGAATACCATGGAACAAGAATTCTTCTAGGGAAGAACAAGGTACATTGTTTTCTGCTTACAAATCATTAAAACATGTCAATGCAGTAAGATTTTACATCGAATGTAATATGAGATACGGAGTGAATCACATAAATACAAAATGAAAGATTACTAGTATAGTACATCTATAGTTTGTCATTTTGAGGTGCATATATACATATTTACAATATTTTTATGTTGTAACAAATAACAATATACCTTTTATATGAATACGTGTAGATAAACATAGTATCTTATAAGGTGTTCAAGGAATGATGAAAATTACATGGGTATATATGCAAATAAGAAAATTCAAAGGATTCTGCAAGCTTAAACATCTGCAATGATCACACTTTTAATTTATTGCTCACCCATGCTCAGACATGTCACTGGAATCAAAGATGCCCATGAAAGCATTTTTAACAGCTGGTGAAACCATAACAAATTTGGCCATCCTAAGCCAAGGTTGAGGTGAACAAGTGATATGAAACAATGACGTCACTAGGATGTTCTAGTACAATACTGAGAAAAGTCAGGCCAGAAGCTAGGTTTATGGTTTCCAGTATAGATACTACTCAAGAAGACAATTACTTGGAAGGAAAATCAAGAACATCAAGAAGATCATATATCTCAAACAGAAGAAGACCAATTTCATAACGAGAGAATTTAATAGGATTCAAATATAAAACTGATTTGTCTGGTACATTAGAATATAAAAAAAAAGCCTACCATCTTTAGCTGTAACTACACATTACTAAGAAGAAAAGACAACCTTACTTCCCGCAAGGCAAGTTTATGGATGGATTTCTCAGCTAATGAATCTCCTCCTGACACCCCACCACCATCCAAGGACAAAGCCACTTCCTCCTCTGCCTCATCAGTAATGATATCCAGTCTGCTCCTTAGACTGGAAACTATGTCACTCTGAATTTACAAAAGAAAGCTACATAAGTTTCTTCAAGACAGCAGCAAGCACTAAAGAAAATATATGTCAAATAAGTACAACAATTTTAGTTTGAAAATGGAGACTCTGATTATTACAAGCAGTGAATGACAACAAGACATCCCATGAAGAGCAAACACAGTATACATGGGGGCTTTAGGCAATGAAATCAAGGACTATTAGCGTGGTTATCAAACTCTCTTTCCTATTATATGTTATTCAGAAAACAATTTAAGTGAATGGATAACTGGTTTTCTTTATTTGAATGAATAATGATCTTTTTGTTTTTTGTTTTTATTCTTCCTTTCAGGTTAAGGACAACGGTTCAAATGGCAGCAAATGTTTCTACAGGATTAACTCAACTCAACAAGGACTCTTACTTCTGAGATCAATCATCAATCATCCCATTAGTAATACAACGTTCCACTGTAATATTTTAAGATAAGATTTTGAGTGAATTTTGTATAAACAAAGACACTGTGTAATTGAGATAGAAGTTTTGAGTTATGAATTTCATAGTTTCAGTTTCTTTTTTTTTACTTGTGGATGAAAACATAGTTGGTGGATGAAGACATAGTCGCATGTACCATCGACATCGAGTATCAATCAACAGAATCAATATATTCTTAATATGTCAAAGAACATGTAAAAATACATTAATCAAAAAGTGAAACTAAATCATATTCATCATCCAATTTCAAGTATCATTACATGTCAGAAACACACTCAGACAAAAGGATTCCTGCTCATCAACCAAAAACACAGTACTCTTTTCAAGTTTAGTTTAAGGGCATGACAAAAACGCATTCCTGCTCATAAGGAACCATCTGATCTTGATCCTACAGGTTTCAAAGCATCCTTGTCAATTATTAAGTCACTCAATGATTGGCAAGTCATGACAATTATCAAGAATAACTACACTATACATTGATCATCCCTGTAGCAACATGGCATGATCAAAGACATCATGCTCCCAAAAGCAGAGTTACTAACTGGTCTTATTTCCACGTCACTCCTACCTAGATTACTTGAATGCAGAAATACAAACATCACAAATGTTTGGACCTTCCACAGACAAACAATTTAAAGCTTTAGCAAATACATGAACACAAGATGTCCTCCTTGTCTGGTGGAGTCCAAAAAGACAAATCAACCCAACTTGCCGCCTCAAAATGGCATTGGAAAGAGCTTGAACGATCAAGTTCTGCTAGTGCTCGATATGAAGATAAGAATCTTGCAATTTATTTGAAATTTATGCATTGATTGTCACTGTCAGAGATCATGACAGATGTTCTGTGG